TTTAATAATTATAGAGACTTTGCAATCATAAATCATGAGTTGATGTTCTTTTGTAATAAAGACGTGGTTGATAACCTCAAATAACAAAAATGCTGCTGGAAAGTAAGACTGGTGTGGGATGGAAGCATGGTAGTCAAATTGATGGAAGTTGTAAAAGTATTTAATGCAATTATTGTAAGAAGACATTAAAAGGAGGTGTTTACTAATTCAAGTACCATTTGGCAGGAACAAAAAATGATATGGGGGCTTAAACTTCGTTCTTGATGAAGTGCAAAAACTAATGTTCAGAATTGTATCCTCTTTACAAGAGAGACTAATGAAGAAATCAATCACACTCTCACAAGATGATGATGGTGATGTTGAACTTGGTGGAAAAAGAAAAAAAAGTGAAGAGGATGATCAAAATAATAATACTTTTAAAAGAAGGGGAGTGAGCACTCAAGTAATAATAAGTAGCATCTTTAAGAAGAATATGAGAGAGGAAGTATGTCAAGATATTGCCTCTTTCTTCTACAATAATGTCATTCCATTCAACGTGGCAAAGACTGATGAATTATAAAAGATGTTTGAATCGGTTTCAAGACATGGCCCGGGATTCAAGCCACCATTCAGTCATGAGATCAAAGTTAAATATTTAAAGAAACAATGTGATTCAACAATGCAAAATATTGAAAAACATAAAGCTTATGGAAAAAATTCGGATGCACAATAATAACAGATGGATGGATCGAAAAAAAGGAGGAGGACTATAATAAATTTCTTAGTGAACAGACAGCTCTGGGGGAACAATCTTCCTTATATGAAGCTAAGGATCTCTCTAAAATTCTATTGCCACCTTATTTGAAAAACTTAAAGAATACGAATTGGAGATGAATAGAAAGGCGAACCATGAACTGAGCAAGAAGAATCCAAAGAGTATAGTCCTAAAAGCTTCTTCTTCCCAATCCAAGCAAAGTAAGAAAAATAGTGAAGATCATCAAGTGAATCTAGTACTAGTGAAGATGATGAAATGAAAATGTTTGTGAAGAAGTTCAACAAGTCATTCACAAAGTTCCTTAATAAAAAGTTGAATAAGAAAAGAAGAAGAGGTGCTAGCCAAAGGAGAAATAAAAGCAATTTCAACAACGCCAATAACAAGAATGCTTGCTTTGAGTGTCGAAAAGAAGGATACTTTCAAAAGCACTGCCCCAAAAAGGTAAATATGGCAAATAAGAAATGAAAGAGCAAAAAGAAGAGAGCTTGCATTGCATTTCAGATGATAATTCAAGTACCATAAGCTCCTCATCAAGTGAACAAGCTAACCTTTGCTTCATGACACAATTTGGAGAAAATCAAATCGAGGTACATTCTAGTCACTTCTAGTTCTATGTGGGATTTCGATTCGGTATGTGATTCTAATTCAATATGTGGTTATAGCTCCTTATGTGATACATGTTCTATGGTTGGACCTTCTTATGATGAATTGTTATATGCTTATAAATGCATGCAAGTACAAAAATGAGAAATTGAACTCAAATTTAGAAAAGGTGAAAATTAAAAAAATTGTTTGCAAGAGAAAGTTAATAGCTTGACAACCACAGTAAATGATTTAATGCAAGACAATGAGCACCTCAAGAATGAAAAAACTTTTATGACTTGTCTTGCTGGATCATATGATGATGTGAATCCCTCTTCAACTATATCATGTGCTAAATGTGTGAAATTCACTAATGAAGTGGATAGGTTAAAGACAACAGTAGAAAGAATAACTAGTGGGAGAGACAACTTGAATGTCCTCCTTGGTAAGAAAATGATTGATTCAACTAAACATGGACTTGGTTTTCAAAATCCTCCATTTTCTCAACCAAGAAAGACAAACTGTAATCCCCTAGGTTCATGTCTAAACTACCATTTAAGAAGTGTACATGTCGTTGTATGTGTAACACCCCCAAATTTTTAATAATTTTAAAAACAATAAAATATTCATATAATAGAGAAATTTTCAAAAAAGTAACATTTAATTATTTATTAAGATCTTATAACTATTGCGGAAGTTAATCTAAAACTAATTTGGAGAAATGTTATCGCAGCACATGTACAGGGACAAGTGCAAGGCTAACTTTATTACATTCAAATAAAATCAAAGACTATGTTTTTATACATAATATTTAAGACTAGCTAGAAATTATGAGTTGTTATCCTCACCACTCATTGCTAGCACCAACCTCTGCAACTTGCAACACTGAAACTCTATTCTCCCGAAGGATCATTGCAGCCAAACAAACACAAACACAAACAGTAAGTAAAGCTGGTAATCCTAATCAAAACACAAAATGATGATAATATAACCCAATATCAATCAAGACATTTATTTAAAAATAATCAACATAATCAACTCAATCAATATACCAAATATGTCGTTTATTCATTACTCAAGCAATAATTCAAATATGTCATTTAATCATAACACGAATCAAGTATCAATTACATATTTAAGATTATTTAGTTCATTTAGTGGGAAGAGAAACATGGTAGATTCGGGAGACCCTATCAGTCTACCCTGTGACCCGAAAAATCCTGTTAGTCATAAATCATCAAATTTAGCCATCATCAAAATATCTCTTCCTAGTGTGTACACCTCTTCCCAAAATTGCTACTAGTATCCCACAAAATCCTGCAAGATACCACTTTGAGAAGAACGATACTATCTTTTCACATCATATAAATATCGGAAACATAAACCCAAAGGTTGTGATCATCACTCTAGGAGGTCTCATCCCAAAGCTATCCTCCCATTAATGATTTATTTCAAGCACACATGATATGCCTCCAACATATATATAAATCTAGGCCAAAAAGAGAAAGAATATTGATTAATCTTGAATAAAAAGGCAAGAATTACTGTTGATTTGTTAAAATCTCAATCAAAGATAGTACAACTGATTATCTTTCGATTTTGTAGGAGAAATAGGACAATAAGGAGCCAAATTTGGAAGTAAGAAATCGAAGTCTCACGCTACTAGCGTGAAACTCACGCTAGTAGCGCCAGAAGCAAAAATCAGCCAGAGACATCTACGCTCACAGCGTGAAACTCACGCTAGTTGAGCCACAACCCACGCTCACAGCGTGGGAACCACACTAGTTGCGTGGGCTTCCAGAAATATGAACGAAACTCCCACGCTATCAGCGTGGGAGGTGCGGACAATCAGCATTAAATCTTTTTCTGCATCAGCGGAAGATTAGACAGAGATTTACAACAAAGATTCAATCAAGATTTCTACACAAGGTCATAAACTCTATAAATAGAGACTCAGACCTCAGAGAAAAACATCTTTAGCTGAAGAGAATGCTTGGAGGCTCGTGCTGGAGATCAGGATTCCGACGGAGTTGAAGACCGGAGATCATTGATTCTTCTTCTCCTTCTTCTTTATTGCTTTTATGAATTTTTTTTATTTCTTTATTTTTTTAAGCCAGCTATGTCTAGCTAATTTGTTTTTGTAGTTGGGATCACGGATCCAATGTGAATCCTTTATATTTTCTGTATTGATATTTTATAAGTTAATTAGTTAATTTATTTTATTCTACCTAGTTTAATTTTTCATATCCTGTTTAGAACTGATCACTCTAAATTATAGGGCTTTGAGGGTTAGAATTCACAATAGACATATTGGAGTTTTAATCTGGACAAGGCTAGAATAATAATTTGTGTATGATCTAGACATAGGCTTACATAAATTGCAGACTCATAATTCATTTGCTTAATGCTTAATTCAACAGGGATTACTAAGACATTAGGATTCTAATTGGATTAAAGGGCTGAAATCACTAAGACATTAGGGTTCAACTATTTTATAGAGAAATAATGAATTGTCTGAGCAAACGAATTAATTAATTATAAAATACAATATAGGAATATAAGGGAGGATCGGAGGTGAAGTGCATCCTGACTACAGTCTTTTTACAAAATTTTCACCAATATTTTCTTAGCGTTCTTGATACTCTTGCATGCGTTCAAATTTAATTGTTTTTAAATTTTCTGTTTTAAATTTAATTGTTTTTAAATTCTATTTTAAAATCCCAAAATCAATTACTTTCACAATACAAACAAATTTTCTTTTCCAACTTAAGGGGAATAGTTGAATAATACTTGGTGCATTAATCCTCGAGGGAACGATATCTTACTTATCATTTTGTTACTTGAAACGAACAGTATACTTGCCGATTTCGCAACAAGTTTTTGGCACCGTTGCCGGGGATTAATTACGCCAATTTTAGTCTTAACTTTCGATCTTTGAGATTGGAATTTTTAATTTTTTTATTTTGTTACTAATTGATTTCTCTCTTTTATGCGAGGTAAAGCTAACAAAGAACCTTTACAATTTGATCCAGAAATCGATAAGACTGCAAAGAAGAATAGGAAGCTAACCAAGCAAAGGAAGATAGAGGAATCCTCGAGTTCAGAGCCAAAAGTTGAACCCGAGATGGCAGCTAATAATCAACCACCACCGGAGGAGGAATTGATGGAGTCAATCTTGGCTCCACAGTTCACGAGGCCAAATTCTAACATCATCAGACCACCAATCAACGCCAATAATTTTGATATCCAGCCAGCACTGATAACTCTGGTGGAGAAATACCCATTTGGCGGAGAAGATTATGAAGACCCCCATGATTTCATGGATAGATTTCTGAGAATCTGTGACACCACCAAACATAACGGGGTGTCAGATGATGCAATAAGACTCTGACTGTTCCCTTTTGCTGTAACAGGGAAAGCTCTCAGATAATTGGATAAACAAGCTCCCAACAACATCAGAACGTGGGATGAACTGCCAGCTAAATTCTTTGCTGAGCACTTCTCCAGGGAGAAATACAACAAGTTGGTGAATGAAATCACCAACTTCACTCAACAATCAGGGGAAACTCTATGTGCAACTTAGACCAGATTCCAATAACTGATCAGAAAGTGCCCCACATATGATCTGCCAGACGAAAACAAGGTCAGAATCTTCTACAATGGAATGACACCAGATTCCAGAATGGTTGTCAATGGTGCAGCCGGTGGAACCATAGCAAAGAAGACAGCAGCTGAAACTTTAGAGTTGATCGACTTTATGGCAAGGGCTGATAACGCATCAATAACAATTCAACCAGTTCAACCAAGAAGGGGAATCCTTCAGTTGGAAAACAATGATGCATCACTTGCAGAACATCCTATCTTAACAGCTAGCTAGTCTGAATGCAAAGTTGGACAAGTTGCAACTCTCTACAGCTCAAGTTGACTTGGTCAACTGTGAGTATTGCCAAGGTGAGCATGATACTAACGTTTTCCTAACATTGGTAGGAGCAGATGCTTTACAAGTGAATGGAATCTGGTATGAACCAAGACCACAGCAGAATTTCCAGAGAAACCAGAACAATGCTCCAGGAAACAATTTCCAAATGAGAATTCAAGGGGGAGGTTTGGATTACAAATCCAACAATTATTTACAACCTCCTCCTATTCCACTCAAGGAGCCATCCGGATTGGAGAAACTGGTGGAGACCCTGGCTTCAACTACCAATGCTTTCATTCAAGAGACAAGATCAAATTTCAAGAATCAAGAGACTTCAATCCGAAATCTTGAGACTCAGATTGGACAGTTGGCCAAGCAATTGAATGAAAGAGCTTCGGGAACATTCCCCAGTGACACTATAATCAACCCAAGGGAACACTGCAATGCCATCACTACTAAAAGCGAGGATCTGGAAAAAGTGGAAGCTCCTACAGGAAAGGATAAGCACATTCAAGAAGGCAAAGAAGAAGCAAAGGAGCAACTTCCTATAGTTCAAAAGAAGCAATGAGATTTCTCATGTTTTGAGAAACCTCCATATCCCACGCGTAGCAGACAACATGAGCAAAGGAAGCAAATGTCTAAATGTTTAGATATTTTTAAGAAATTGCAAATTAACATTCCTTTTGCAGAAGCTCTGGAGAAAATACCTTCGTATGCAAAGTTCCTGAAGGAGAAATTATCTAAGAAGCGGAAGCTCACAGAGGATGAACCTGTTACACTAACAGAGGAGTGCAGTGCAATCATAGAAAAACTTGCCTCCAAAGTTGAAGGATCCAGGGAGCTCTACTATTCCATGCACCATCGACAAGACGACTATAGAGAAAGTCTTATGCGATCTTGGTGCTAGCATAAATGTGATGCCCCTCACCCTGATGAGGAAGCTAGGAATTGATGAAGTAAAGCCAACGAGGATAAATGTTCAACTGGCCGACCGCTCAACAAAGCAAGCACATGGTATTGTGGAAGATGTATTCGTCAAGGTAAACAAATTTATAATTCCTGTTGATTTTGTTATTCTTGTCATTGATGAAGATGCCAGTGTGCCTATGATCTTCGGGAGGTCATTCCTAACAACCTCAGGAGCGCTAATCGATGTACCTACGGGAGAGTTAATAATGCGCGTGGATGGAGAGCAAGCAACATTCAAGGTACTTACAAATGAAGCTCTATTGCCTGCATCTCAACCTAAAAAACAAATTAACTACATTGCGGAGAAAAAAGGTTGAGAAAAGGAACAAGAAGGAAGACCATAAGAGGCATGAGGAAAGCAAGCCAAAGGTTAAGATGGAAAAGCCCAAGAGTAAGGAAGAACATGTGAAACCTATTAGTATATGGATGTCCTAGAGACAATCTTTTGATTAGATTAGAACATATGTGGACCTTTTTATATTGTCGCAAATAAATAATATGCACTCTTTATCTTGTTTCATATTTTGTCTCAATATTATTGTTAATATATTATATGAGTAACTGGATAAACCCATTGGAATAAAATAGGTATCTATTGAGTATCTGTGATGAGATCACGATCATGAGGATTTAAGGATACCAGATGTTTATTCCTAATTTTATGTTCCTAGTCTAGAGACACTGAGAATGGGGATCGGTAATCTCGGGTAAGACTAGCACGACTTATCTACTTGTATTCGGATACAAGGTAAAGACCTCATGAGCTACAGATATGGAGATATCTTAGCTAAAGTCATGGGTGGACCTATAAGGGTATAGCTCGCACTGAACAGACCCACAAAGAGACTCTATGAGGAAATCTTACAAAAGTATCATTAGAGCAGTCTCTTAATATTTGGGTATGTCTTTCCTTAGACCATAAGTTGTCACCTAGACTGTGTTCTAGAAGGCATGTTTTGATTGTATACCTCGTTTACCTGAAACATGGAGACTCATAGGTATACTTTTGGGCATGTCCTGAAAGAGCACAGGCCTAGGGTGATAAGCTGAAGGAATTCGTCAAATCTCTGTAAGAGATTAGGTTATCTGTAAACTGGAGAAATCGGGATGACATTTACAAGACTCGGGAATCTATGCATAGTAAAAGAGATCATGAGATGATCTGCCTTTAGAGTCAGTAAATTGAAGATTCCCTATTTCGAATTAAAACTTACCCTAAACTGCAAGGGTTGATACACTTCTTCGCCCTAGGTTTAAAGGGAAGGTAACCGAGATGAAAGGAAATACATACGGCAACCAAATATGTGTAATAGGATGATCAAGTCATTAATCTAACTAGTTCTGGGGCAACAAAGCATTGCTAGTGCTCTGTGTTGTCATTAAATGGGTTATGGGATTGTTGGGCCCGAGCCCATTTATGTCAGTGGCTATGTTAGACCTAATGGGTCATACACTAACACCTTATTGTCATGATGATGTAGCATTAAAGGTATTAGGCCTAATAATGGTTGTTAGCCCAAGAAAAAGTTTGGAAGCTCACCTAAAAGGGAAAAGAGCGTATGGATCATGTAGTGGGCTTGGATGGTCAAAGACATTACTAATTAATTTAATTAGTTAAATTAATTATCAAATATTTAAATTTTGAATTTGAATTTTGAATTTTGAAATTTGAATTTTGAAATTCGAATTTAAATTTTGAATTTTGAATTTAAATGTTTGAACGTTTGAATTTAAATGTTTGAATTTGAATTTGAATTGGCTATGAAAAGTTGTTTCATACCAAAAGGATAAGATAAGATCTTGTTGGAACAAATCCCTTGTATCAAGAGGAGATCTTTGGAGATCACCAAGGGCTGTTTGGGGCGCTGATTTGGTGTGATTACAAGTGTCATCTAGTCAATCAAATAAGCTCCAATCAGATTTGGTTGGTTGAGAGAATCAGTGAGTGAGTTGGTTCAAATTTGAATGCAACTGCTTAACGTATCTGGACCCCTTTTGGGGCTGAATGGGGCGCATAGATGGCTGGCCATATGATGGCCATTAGGTCATAATTTTGACTAGATAAAGATCTAGTCTCATGAGGATTGTATGGTAGGCTGTTGGGAATTTTGAATTGCAACAACTCCACCCTTTCTCTCCCTTTATGTATGCCATTTGTGATCAGAAGTTGAAGAAGAAAATCTGATTGCATCCTTGCTTCCTCTCATCCTTTTGGTGCGCCATTTTTGTTAGGTTTTTCCCTAAGTGTTTTGGAATTAACTTAGCATTTTCTAAGAGCATCCATGCCCCACTTTTGTGAAGTTTTCATGCTGAAGACTTCACTCTTCTAAACACATTTACCTAGCCTTCTCCTTCACACATTGGACGCCTAGCAAGCTTTTATAGTGATCAATTAGTGGCTTTTCAAGAAGAGTTCTTGCATCTTGACGTGGGGTGGTGTGGATCAATGTTAGAGGGTTTGAACCCTTCAAACCTAACACTGATCTCCTTGGTGTTTGAATCATAAACAAAGGTAACATCATGCTGTCTTAAAGCATTAATCTTGATTGCATGTGTTATTCCGCTTGAAATTTTTTGTTTTTCCTTCTCACATGCTTCAACCTTCAAGGTCATTTTTCTTTCAAAACCTAAGCTTAAAATTTCTGAGAAACTTCCTCCTCATCCACGTGCATATGATCCTGGAAAGACACAATACTGGATCAAGAAGAATGGGTCACCAGTGGTAGCATGCTTCCAACCACCGTAATCACAGGGGGTACGTCAGGCTCGTGACGTTAAACAAGCACTAATTGGAAGGCAATCCAATAGTAGTGTTTTTATTTATTTTATTTGCTTAGTTAGTTTAATTTTAACAAGTCAAGTAATTGGTGAATTAGTGACCATATAGAACAATTTTAAATCTGGGAATGGCGCTAGCAGCGCCACAAGACCAAAAGTACAGTGAGATCCGCGCCGACAGCGCCAAGGTGGCGCTTACAGTGCCAGAAACCCACGAAAGAATTGCGCCAACAGCATGAGATCCACGCCCTCAGCTCCATAGGTCCAAAAGTTCCAGTGAGATCTGCGCTCACAGCGCGAACTCCATGTTGTCAGCGCCAGTACTCTCACCATTTACCTTGACTTTAGTATTTTCTTTTTGCTGTTTTGAGATTATGGTTTGATTATGTCTCCCTTGTTAATGTATTTCACTTTTATGATTATTCTGTTTGATGGTTAAAAGTGTGTGAGTGTTCCACCTGTGCAGAAGTAGCTTCACTCGACTAGTTTAGTTTGTTGCTGAGGACAACAACGTTCTAAATCTGGGAATTGGTCGCATACATTATGCGATACCTGCTAACTGCGGAACTACACAACAGAGAGGACGTCTTAGAGAAATTTTTCTGAAAAAGGGAAGATTTTTTAACCTTTATATTTTTTTTTTAGTTTTTGCTGTTTTAATTCAATTAATTTTCTTTAATTCAATTTGTTTTTAGAAAAATAAAAAATTAAAAAAATAGTGAATTCCTGAATAAGCGTTCTTAGATTTTGCAAAGCTTGCTCATGAAGTAATTATATTGAATTATAAGAAGCATGATATCTGTGGAGCATTCAATTATTTTTATAATCTGAGAATGATGACTGCTCGTTTGTATAATTGTTTTGGTAACAAATTTTAGATAATGCTTGATGTGAAATTTTGAAATTAGATTCTAATTTGAATCACAACTGTGAGGATTTGAGCCTAAACAAAAATATTTTTTTCAGAGAGACCTCACTGTAGTAGTTTCTAGAACTTGAACTGTTTCTCTAGCTTGCATGCATTACTGACATGATAAAGGCATGTTTATTCTTGTTAACTTAGAGCCAAACAACCTACCTAAAAGAATTTTCCATTGTTAGCCCTTTTGAGCCTTAGACCAATTTATTCAAAAAAACCTGTTGAAAATTACTTAACCATTTCTCCATTGACACACCTTGAAAGAGATTGAAATGATAATCAAAGGAAAAAGTCAAGGTACTTCTCAAAAGAAAAGTTAAGTAAGTTGAAAAAGGAAACAGAAGAATGGTCTGCAAAATACTACAAAGAAAAAAGAAATTCTGAAAAAGAAAAAAAGAAATTTGCAGCTCAAAAGAGAAAAGAAAGAAAACATCTGCAAACAAGGAAAAGAAAAAGGTAGTGAAAAAGGGAAAAGAATCCCAAATTGATGAAATGTGGTAGAATCAAAAGACTGAGAAAGAAGTAATGTCAAAACTATCAGAATTTCAGTCTGTCAAATTAATCAGCCTCTGACCAAAAGATTCTTACCCCAAACCAAGCCAAGTTATAACCTATCAAAAGACCTTTTGATCAGTCTATGCATGTCAAATGGGTTCCTCAATCTTAGGAATTAAGAAAATGTTCAAGCTTATGGAATTACTGCTACACTGATGGAATGAGTGTGAACTCCTCAAACACTGGAGCGATGGGAGTATATTTATCTGGTGAGGAATATTCAAGTTAGGATCTAATTTCTTGATACAACTGAAAAGCATTGTTGAAGTTTTAATAGGAAGTTATACATGCATAGCAGTCTGATTTCTTAAGATGTTCATGTTCCATGTTTTTCTTCACAGAGTTAATCTTTGCCTCTGACTTTAATCTATTATATTGCTGAGGACAGCAACGTTCAACACACAATCAAGAAAAATTCATTCTTATCTCAATTATCGTATTTAAAAAAATTTCTTCTTTGAATATATCAATTGCTCAAGAGCATCTTGACTTTCCAAACTATTCAAGAGTATAATAATTCAAATATTCAATATAAGGTCCAACTCATATTTATTATCATAATTCAATTATCTATCAGAGTAAAAATCCAAATTCAAATATCATTTCATAACTCAAATATCTATCACCATCAAAATACTAAGATTATTCCCAAACATATCGCACATAATAAAATTATATTGCAAATA